GAGAGAAGCCAGGGTATCGGCTTCAACCACAGGGCTGGGCAGCTTGTTCCCCACCCCCACCACCCTCTGTGTACAGAAGAGCCTCCTGTTCTGTGTCGGTGAGACCAGCTCCTGAGCACAGAGCACAGCGAGCAGTTGATCAGCTGTCTCGATTCAAGGCTCACGGATATTAATTAATTCTATAATATTAATTAAGAGCTCGGCTGGGTTGTAGACTTAAAGAAATGCCACTGGCGGTTGTCCTAAGCGCCGGAGAGAGAAAATTGTGTGATTACAGAGTAATTGTAAGTCATAATGTGTGTGTTTTATTTGTCATGACCTCGGCCACAGGGGTGCTGGTTTTAACAGCGCGAGTGAGTAAATCAATCAATCACCCGCATCCACACCACCGGCGGCTGTGAAAAGGACTCGCGCGATTTTTCCCCTCCCCTCCCCTCTCCGTGTTTTTTTTTTGGGGGGCGTGGGTTTTAAGTGCCGTTGACGAGTCTCCAGCTGCTCCCGCGCGCAAGCTGATAGCGAGCAGCCGGTGCTGTTTATTTTATGTTGTACAAGAGGCAGGCCGAGAGCGTCCCCACGCCCACGCTGTTGGGCGGTGTGCGTGAGGATGGCCGGTCCCGGGTGGGTGTGGATCCTGATGGCGCTGGGCGCGACCCCGGTGGAGGGCGAGCTGATCGTGGGTGAGTGGCGCTATATCACGCGATTAAACAGTCCCGTTGGTAGATAACGATGTGCTGATAAGAGTTAGAGAACTAACAGAGGGAATATTAATCATTTACAGAGTGAAAACAGAAGCTTGTCAGAGGGGACTGCTGTAGCACTGATCTGCATTTATCTGAGGTTTTAGTTAAAATCTCAAGGGGGTACTTGGGGCGCATCACTCAGGTTGAAGGGGTTCAGCTGACGAGAAATAGGTGGGGAGACCTTCCCGGTCTAGAGGCTACTGACTCCGGACGTGTTTCCGGAGGGCCGTGGAGTCACGGACGCGGGTGGGACGCACGGGCGTGGCGCGCGTCCCCCCCCCACGGCAGCCACGCCAGAGCCGGCGCGCCCCCTGGTGGGCGAACGCGGTACTCGGCCGGTACCGCGGCTGCTTTTCACCGGTTTAAAACGCCGCAAACGGGGTGAAAACAAAACCACGACACGACACGAGGGTTGTGTGAGCTGCGGCAACATCGCGGAACACGTGAGCGTGTTGGTACCGTGGCGGGATCGGAGGATCGTTTATGAGAGGAGGGGAGGAAAGGAAGGAGGTCTGGCCAGCAGCCGTGTCCCCCCCTGCAGCTCCCAGCTGACACACCCCACTGGAGCCCAGCAGGTGGGAGCCTGGCCAGTATACCTGGAGGGGAGACTCCTGGGAAAGCTGAGGCTGCTGCTGGGAGAGGTGTGAGTGGGGCCAGCAGGGGGCGCTCACCCTGCGGTCTGTGTGGGTCCTCATGCCCCAGTATAGTGACGCCTTGT